CAGGGGCAGCTAGGTGGTGCAGTGGATAGAGCACCGGCCCTGGATTCAGGAGGACCTGAGCTCAAATCCAACCTCAGACACATAACACTTACTAGCTGTGTGACCCTGGGCAAGTCACTTAACCCCATTGCCTAGCAAAAACAAAAACTAAAAACTAAAAAAAACAAAAACAAAACTAAGAGGAGGGGAATTCTGTAAAGGAAATTGAACTGGGAGGAAGGTGAAATAGGGAGAAAGACCCATCCCTGGGGGGCATCCTGGACCATGTTTCCTTCTATTGTAGTTCTCCTGTAGGCAGAGTGAAGCCCTTCTTGGGAGGACCCAGGGCCCAGGTTTAAAGATTTTTCTTGGATGTCAGTCCCTCCTTAACTGTAGGGTTAGGGTAAGAGTTATGAACAAGAAATCCAAAGATAGATTTTGGGGGCAGGAGCTTGTCAGTTAATTTGGATAGGAAAAAAAAATACTTTATTTCAATATAATTGGTTTCTTTTGAAATCCTACATATTTTATTTTGTGCATTATTCTGAGTAGTCTGGTTCCTGCTCGTACCTCTATTTTTCTCTACATCTTCATAAGACTTAGAGCTAGGAGGGAATTTAGAGAGATCATCTAGTCCAAGTTTCTTATTTTACAGAGTAGGAAATAAAATCAAGAGATTAAATGATCTGTCCAAAGTCACAACTAGTAAAAAGCAGCCTTGGAATTTGAACCCAGATCTTCTAGACTCCAAAAGCAATACTTGATCCATTAACTGCTGTTCATCAATTAATAACCATTTACTGAGCAGCTACCTGCCCTCCAGTTGCTTACGTTTCAGATAGGGAGAGAAAACTAACATGAGAAAATAGTCATTTGAGGCTGCTGTAAACCACAGTAATACACCCCTTCTTAGTCCGTGCTACATTCATCTGTAATGAGGCTGTTTTGTAAGGGCTCTGAAATCACTGCCTGTGTGTGTCTTGCCTCCCCGACCATGCTGTGAGTTTTCAGAAGGGAGGGACTCAGGCTTATTTTTTGGTAATTCCTTCCTACAGTGCCCAGTACAGAGCTATGCTCAGAGTAAGTCTCAATTCATGTTTTTGACTGAATGTTTCTGTCTTTGAGTCTCTCTGTGTCTCTGTCTCTCCACGTCTCTGGCTCTCTCTTGTTTCCCAACATCCTTCCCGAGCCCCTGGGGAGCCGGGCTGGGGGTAGGCAGGCAGTGAGAACAGGACGCTCTCCTGTTCTCACCAAGGACAATAAGGGCCGGAAAGGGCTGGAGCCAAGGGCTGGCGCTAAGCCCCCCTCCTCCTTCTCCCCTCTCCAGCCACTGTTTCCCTAGACCTGACCCTTTGGCATTCCCTCCCTTTGCCCTGATGCCTGGCAGGCTGCCTGGCTCTTCAAGCCCTCTGCCCAGCCTCTGACCCATAAGTCCAAAGATCACCCTGGGCTACAGCCCCATGTCCCCTGCTGGGTTCCAGCCCCCAAATCCCCAGCCACAGGACTGTGGACGAGGGACACAATGCCTCTGACCTCATGGGGTATCACATCATGTCCTTTATTCTCTCTTCCCAGCAAGGAGACCAGACTAAATGAAAGGTCCTTCTCACTCCTCAACCTCTCCCGCCTCCCCACCCCCATTACACTCCCGCCACCCCTCCAGAGTATTATTTACTCCTGTTTCCTGTGTCGGCAGTGGGTGTCGGAGCCTCGTGTGAGGGAGGCAGGGAGGAAACATCTGGTTTCCCTCCATACTCTGAGGCAAAGGACACCCCCCCTTCCCCTCCCCCTCAGCTACACACTTGCAGCTTCTTGGGGAAAGCAGGGACAAAATTGCTGAAGGAGAGCGGTAGAGGTCAGGTCTGTGACCTTTCTCACCTCTCCCCAGGCTGTGGAAATGCTCTTGGTTTAATGATAGTGATTGAGCTGCTTGTGAGTACCCCCCTTCCAGCGTTAATTGGTAGGTCAGAAGCTGGCACCCTGAAGCCAGGCACACGAAATGCCGGGTGGAGGGTAGATGCTGGCGCCAAACTGCCTTGTAAATGCACACATCCCCTAGGAGGGGGTCATTATCCCTGGCCATGAAGTGCCCCCTCTGCCCACACAGCCAAATGGCAGGTGCCTAGACTTCTCAGCAGACAGCCTTTCACCTGCTCTAGGGCCCTTCTCACCCCTCCACCCCGAGATATGATGGGTGACAACATCTTGCTCTATCCAGGTGCCAGCTTATCTGGCATGATGTAGGCATGATGCCCCATGGCATCATGGGGCCTATTACTATGGTTTACCATGGCCATGGACGTCTCACTGCCTGTCTACATACGGGAGCCCTGGATCTTATCCCTTTGCACACCACCCTCACCACAGGCATCAAGAAAAAGGTAAAGGTTAAGGGGTATTGAGACCAGGCAACACACACAAAAGTCCTGCCCAGGGATAAAGTGAAAGAAAGGGACACAAGCCCTTTGATCTAGTCTTAGGATAATTACAAAATTCACGTCGAAGACTGTCATGGGTAATGTCAAGCAGATCCTCCCCCATCTCATCAGATCCTGAGGAAGGCAGGATAATGAGAAGTTTTTCCTCTTTTTAGGTTGAGAGTGTGGAGGTGGGTCTCCACTAAGCCCCTTCCCCCTCCTCCCCACTTTCTTAGGGAATGACATATTGGTGTTCCCAGACATCTTATTTTCCAACTTCTATTTATAGTCTTTTGGCTGAGGTGAGGACAGTGGGAAGTGACGGAGCGCCTAGATTTTAGAAAAGGGGTGGGGCGGATAGCTGCTACTCCCCTCCCCAGGTCTCAGTGATGCCGTCTGGTGGTTGAAGGTTATTCAAGCGCCAACTTAAATATGAACATGAGCTCTAGGCACCCTCTGCAGACAGTCCTTGGAAATAGCAGAATTAACACCACAATTCGTAAGATCATACAATTTAGAAATGGAAGCATGTGTGCTGGGAAATGTTTTAACAACCAGCTCTGGGTGATGGTGATGGTAGAATGTATGTCCAATACACTTTTAAGTTTAATTTACAAAACTAATGCTTCCTCCTTCATTTTCTTAAGTCTAAATGACCAACAAAAACAAGAAATCAAGCCCTGATTTTTGACGTTTGCCGATTTTCAAGGTGCAAATGCTCACATTGAAAATTTAACAATCAACTCTCTCCAACAGGTAGGAGCTGGTTCCAGCACACCTCTGGCTGGAAGGGATTTTGGAGACTGCCTAGTCCAAACTCCATCAATTTACAGAAGGACAGAGGGGCTAAGTAATTTGATTAAGGCCACACAGGTGACACGTAGCTAAGATTAAAACCCAAGCCTTCTTAATCAAAAACACTGGTTCCCAACCTTTCCCTATAAAACATGCTCTCCTCTGAATGTAAACTAAGGCATTTCTTTGGCTCTCATCCTCTCCTTCTGACTCCACAACCTAGGTAGCCTCCTGTGTACATTTGGATGGGGGCAGAAAAAGAGGTGAGAGAAGAGTGATTCAGAAGAGATTATTTCTCCTCTCAGGGAATGCCCCACTTCTTGGTTGGGAGACACATGGAGACCAGAGAGGCAAGCCAGCCATGTATAGAGGACAGATAGGCAGTAGTTTGAAGGAAACAGGGATCAGTACTGTAAAACTTTCTAAACATATGAGCTTACACATCGAAATTTCCATGCTCTTTTTGTAGCCATTTATGGAGTCTTCATTCATAAACCTGTCCAAACCTTGGGGATCATTTAGTTCACCCCCTGATCTAAAGAATCTAGAGAAAGCTACTTGCCCTAGGTTACAAGATAGCAAAGGGCTAAAACAGGAACTGAACTCAAATTCATCCCTTTCCCTTACGCCAAACTTACTGTACACATAAATACTCATAACTTACATTTAGTTCCCAAAGCATTCGAGCTGCCCAATAACCATGTGTGGTAAGTGTTGCAGTCCTTATGCCCATTATAGAGGAAACAGCTTAGAGAGCCCAGGTAATTTGTTCCTGGTGTCATAGCGACTGTCAGAAGAGGCTTGAATGCAGATCTTTCTCATTCCAAACCTAGCACTCCATCCAACAGGACAAACTGCCTCTCCAGGAGGGCTGGAGCTGTCAAGCTGGCTAATCCTTACTGGGGAGTAGGATTTAGAGGTACAAGTGGAGTTAGGAGGGCATCAGGGTAAACAATGGCTCAAAGGTAGAGGAAAGTAAAGCCTGAGTGGAGAGCAGGAACAAAATAGGAGTCAAGAGGGGCCAATTTGTGTGAGGAGGCTTAATAGGAGAGACAATCTTGTTGGGATTCCCTTCAGTGTCCCGTTCCAGTGCTCCTTTTTCGATTAGGAAGACCTTACTGTGTTCTAGCTTCTATTCCAAGATTTTGAACATTCTCATCCTCCCAAGGTGAAGACTGCCAATCATTGCTTGGGCTAAAGAAAGGTCGAAAGCTGGCAAATGGTAGAACTCTTGGTAGAGTAAAGGGAAAGTGCAAGCAGCAGAGTGTAACAAAGAGCCCTGTGTCTGGTATCAGATCTGGGTTCAAAACCCAGCTCTGCTCCTCACTATATGAGCTTGGGGAAACCACTTACATTGTAGGGGCCTATAGAATGAGGGTGTTGACCAGATGACCTTTAAGTCCCTTCCAGGTCATATATCCAAAGCCCAAACATAGGAAAGCAACAGTCATGGAAGACTGCCACCATGGAAAATGAACACGCGCCCTTTGCTCACGCTAGCAGAGATAAAGATTATACGGTAACAGGTATGCTGGAGCCAGCTCATACCTGCTCAAGAGAACTGATTGTTAAATGTTCAGGGTGAGCATTTACATGTCAAAAATCGGCAAACAATACAAATCAAGGCTCGATTTATTGTTTTGTTGGTTGTCTTGACTAGAATTAAGTGATAGAGGAAATGTTAATAATGCAAATGAAGCTTAAAAGCGTATCACTCGAGTGGTCCCCACCCCCTTAGACAGACAATTGCTAAAAATTTAACAGCACACCACTGTTAACACTACTCAAAATAGGCCACCACACACCGGGTTACAAAGGAGTCAGCTTTATTGGTCATTTTGGGCTCAGTTCCTCTTTTTGCTTTTGCCTGTAACCTTGGCAGGGGCAATGACTGGGGCAGTTGCTTGATACAAAGCAGAGGAGATCTTGTTGATGTAGTAAAGACCAACCATGGAGAAGATAAAGCTGCATGGTGAAGGAAGGAAAGAGGTCACATCAATAGCCAAACTACCAGGGCCAGCAACTGAGTCCTTGAGGGATGTTAAATCGAGTCATTTGCCCTGGAATATGGAATAGGTGGCAGAAGCAGGGGAGTAACAGGGTTGAAGGACAGTGTAGAGTGGAGGTAGGAAGAGCAAGAAGTCTATTTTCTGGCTGGGGTGGTCCTTTATGAAGGTCTCTGATGCTCCATTTGGTGTGGAGGTGCCTCATGGGTCTCAAAGGCTGGACAGCACACAGCATCACTACCAAGCTAGAAAGGTTTTGGGGCCTGGTGATGGACGGTAGGCCTGCTGTCTGAGGCCCAGCTAAAGGGAGATGCTCATTGCTACACTGGTTGTAGGATGATGAATGCTTTGGCCACAGGGACTCATGGGGATCATCTAATTAAGGGCTGGAAGGAATATCCATGCCAAGGAAATCATGGATCCTTAAAAAATGGAAATAAGTTAGACAAAAGAAGATGAAGCAATAACGAAAGGGAACTAACACTGTAACAGTAGATATGGGCACTGTGCCCCTTGTCATGATGCCCAATACTTACCAGGTGGTTACACAGACACGGTGGATGAGGCCAGAGGCAAAGAGAGCCAATAAGAGGCAGATGAGAACTGGAAGGAAGGAAGAAGAGGGCAGAATTCAGAATGGAGGACTCAGAAGGAACCGAGGGGCATATGGGTAGGGAACAGAATTTGGAGCAATTCATCATTCCTTGAATCCTATAGGGCTGCCTGAAATAGGCAGCATGGCAAAGAGGGCAGTCACCCTCCCCAGTTCAAGAGACATGGATTCAAATCACAGCTTAGTCCCCAATAAGATTTATATCTCTCTTAAGCATTGTATCAGAGTGAACCCAGGCTTAGACTTGGGAGTCAGGGAGACCTAGGTTCAGATCCTGCTTTGCATACTTACTGGCTATGTGACCTTGGGCAAGTCTCTTAAGCATTGTCTGCCTCAGTTTCCCCAACTGTAAAATGGGGATAATAACAGCACCTATCTCATAGGGTTGTTGTGAGGATCAAACAGATAATATTTGTAACAAGAGCTTCGCACAGTGCTTGGCACATAGTAGGTATTATGTAAATGCTTCTTCTTTTCCCTTCCCACCCCCTTCCTCTCTCTAAGCCTGTTTTCTCATATGTAAAATGAGGATAATACCACCTATAGCAGCACTAACTTCAAAGAGTTATTTCGAAGCTGCCAATTTTTAAGGACTATGTATGTCTCTTGTTATAACTACTAAACTCTCAGGGCCCTAGCCTCCTCTTCTGGAGAATCAGCTCAGTACAAAATTCCTTCGAAGCCAATTACTTCTCTATGGGCTTGTTTTCTTAACTGTAAAAGGAGGAGGGGATGGACTCAGTCTCTGGGTCTGGATGGAAGGAATCCTGAAAGCCTGCAACAGTATCAATTAAGACTTGAGAGAAAGGATCACCTGCGGGGAAAAGATGGGTTTCAGTTTGATGGACCAAAGGGTTTTTTTTTGTTTTCTTTTTTGGTGAGGCAATCGGGGTTAAGTGACTTGCCCAGGGTCACACAGCTAATAAGTTTCAAGTATCTGAGGCTGCATTTGAATTCTGGTCCTCCTGACTCCAAGGCTAGAGCTCTATCCACTGCCACTAGCTGCCCTAGGACTAAAGGTTTTAAGGGAGGCATATTTCTGTCTTGGATTTGGGAGCACAGTTTCAGCTATAATTCACTGTGTAAGGGGGCCATCTGTGCTTGATGCAGTGGACAGATCGTTGGACCTGGACTCAGAAAGACCCAGGTTCACATCCTGCCCCAGACTTTTACAAGCTGGGCAAGTATTTAAGCTTTCTGGGTGTCAGTCTCCTCATCTATAAAATGAAGGAATAGGATTCAATAATGCTGTTATTCAATGAACCTGAAGCTTGCTTTAAATTACAAGATACAATCAATGTCCTACTACCTGAACAATCACAGGAGAGAATTTAAAAATCTGCCATATTTGGCTTTGGGGGTATGTAATCTTTAGGACACATTCAACACTCAAATCAAAGCTCTGTGATGAGTGTCTGCTTCAGAAGAAGTCAGAAAGCAGTCCAGTCCTGACTCACACTTTCTGGGAGAGGAAACTGGAAAGAGTACTGGTTGTTGTCAGAGATCTTGGGGTAGAATCCTGGCCCTGTCATTAAATAACTGCCTTTGTGACTGCAGGCAAGTCACTTAACCTCTAATAGCCTCAGTTTCTTCATCTGTAAAGTGAAAGAGAGGTTCCTTCAGAATCAGAATCTATGATTCTATGGTCCTTTTTCCTTGCCAGCAATGGATGGCACTACTTTTCAGAAGAGAAAGCAAAACCTTGAATAAAACTGCCCATCTGTCTGGCTCACACCTTCCCTGCAAGGCAGATGATGAATTATTCGGCTTCAGAGGCCTTCTTCACTAGCTCCTGTTTCAGAACACCCAGTATAATTATAATGATGATAATGATGATGATAGTATTTATATATAGCACTTTAAGATTTGCAAAGAGCTTTACAAATTTTAACTCATTTTATCCTCACAATGATCCTAGACATAGGTGCTATGTTATCCCCATTTTAGAAATGAAAAACCTGAGTCTAAGACCCATTAAGTGACTTGTCCAAGATCACACAGTCTGTACTTATCTAAGGATGACTTTGAACTCAGGTCTTCCTGACTCCAGGCCCAGTACTCTGTCCATGGTACCACCTACCTGCCTTCCTGATGCCCCTAGTTTTTAGTGTTCTCTCTTCAAGTTATCATGTACCTACTTACCTGTTTACAAATTGTATCCCCTAGTAAAATAAAAGAACATTGAGGGCAAGGTCTGTTTTTTTGTTTTATCTTTTAACCTTAGCACTCAGCACTATTCCTAACATATAGAAGGTACTTAATAAATCCTTTTTGCATTGGAGTAGAATGTCTGATCGTCAATAGAGAAGTGAAGGAAAAATGTATCTGTAAGCCAAGCCCTACTTAACACATCATTCCCTTGCCCTGATTGTCTCCTACATACCCACTGCGGCCTCCCTTCCCCAACCAATCCAGCTCTACAGAAGTCGAGGGCTCCCATATCCCAGGGTCCACTGGATACTTCCAGATCCTCACTTACTCTCAGGGAATATCTTGGCCTGGAACCCTTTACCAAAGACCAGGTTCTCCAAATTGTTGAAGGCCTGAGGTGAAAGGGTTAAGGAGGATGGAAATGACACATTTCTATAGTGTTTTGAGGGTTACCAAACACTGTCCTTACAACAACCATTATGTTGATGTTATATCTCTCTCTTTACCTATATTTCTATATCTCGATATATGTGTGTATATATATAAATATTTATCTATATGCCCTTTTTTCTATATATCTATATCTATTCATCTATGGCCATCTATCTATATCTGTATCCCTCTATCCCCCCCAATATATATATGTATCTATTCATCTATCTCCATCTGTCTAAATCTTTCTGTATACATATATATATGTATCTATTCATCTATCTCCATCTATCTTTCTTTATCCGTCTCTCTCTCTCTCTCTCTCTCTCTCTCTCTCTCTCTCTCTCTATATATATATATATATATATATATATATGTGTATATATATGTATCTATTCATCTATCCCGACCTATCTCTCTCTATCCATCTATCTCTCTACCTACAGTTTTATCTCTTGATGTACCTATTCTTTCTGCTGCTAACAAGGAAAGGCCTCCCTCCTCCGAAACCCCCATATCCCCACCCTCTGAAAGGATACAGTGAGGGAGAAAACAAAGAGTGCTGAGCCCAGCAACCCTCCTTGGATAGTAAGCCACTCTGTGGAGGCAAGCTGCCGGCTGTACATCTGCATCCCTGCAAAAAGCAGCAGGGACAGGAGCGAAGAGAGGGCCAAAGAAGTGCCTGTGCCCACCACTGAAAGGAAAAATTGGAGAAGGAAGAAAGAGCAACTTACAATTTGCTCTCCCAAACACTCCCGCCTCCCCCCAACATCCATCATCTCCTAATTTATTGAATCCCAGGGTTGCCCCACTATCCCATGATTCACCAGTTCTCTCCCTGTAATTCACCAGCAACACCTCAAAATTGTGCCTTGTCATCTCAATAATATTCCAGGCCTCTTCGTGACTTCCCATAATGCCTAGTCTCCTACCAATGCCATGATGATGATGATGATGATGATGATGACAGCCCACACTCATATGAGCCTTTAAGGCAAAGAGTTCTTAACCTTTTCTGTGGTTATGAATCTCTTTGGCAAGCGGGTGAAACCTATGGACTGCCCCTTTTCAAAATAATGTTTTAAAATGCATAAAACAAAACATGCAGGATTACAAAGGAAGCTAAAAAGAGTGAAACATGATTATTTAAAATATTTTTAAAGCAGTGGATTCCAGGTGAAAAATAGGAACCCCTGCTTTCAGGTTGGGCCTTTATGGGATCTCACAACAATCCTGTTAAGTAGGTGCCATTTTACAGAGGAGGAAACCAATTACGCCCACCCAGTGTTCTCCAATGAACATACATCGCATCTAGTTCCAGGGTAACTTCTCAAATGATAGCCCATACTCCTCAATAATATGCCAGTAATGACCAGGTGTCCCACTAACACCTATACTTCCAAGACAATGTTCCATTCAATCAATCAATCTATGAGAAGGCAGCACTAAGCAGAACTCTGGCCCTGGGTTCGAATCCTGTATGCTTCTGTGTGGCCTCGGGTCACTTCCGCTCTCTGAACCTCAGTTTCCTCGTCTGTAAAATGGGGGTGAAGTGTTCCAGGCCCCTTCCAGCGCTCAGTCTAAGCTGAAGCCCTGCCCATTGAGACTGGCTGGCCACGTCAGCAACGCCGAGGCCCCGGCCCCGGCCCAGCAGCGATCTCCCTCCCACCCACACCCACCCCCGAGCCAGCCTTCCTGGGGGCCCCCAGCCAGATCCCGCTAGGTCCCGTTACCCATGATGCTCCACGTGCGGGTCAGCTCAGCACCTCGGGCCTGGAGAAAGGAAGAAACCGAACTGGACCCGTAGAGATGTGCGCATGAGTCAAGAGTCGGCCCTTTTCTCTTCCCTCCCCCCTCACCGCCTCTTTCCTTCGACTCCTCCTCCTCGAGCCTGAGGGCGTCGCCATCTGCCGGAGAGGAGGAAGAAGTGCAAGGAAGACTAGCCCCAGCCACCGCCCCTGCCCCGCCACTCTGTCTTGTTCTCCTCCATCCCAATCCGCGCTGCTACATCCTCAGTGCGCGTTGTACTCATCTCTTCTGCATTGTCGGATCCTATGCCTCTGGTCCCCTCCACATCCTCCCAGTGTGTGTGGGTCCAATTTACTCCACGTCCACCTCTACCCGTAATGCCCCCTCCTCGATGCTTGTTGCACAGCTAACTCCAAGACTCAGGTCGTCCCTCCCTCCAGATCCCCATGTACCCGTCCCCCACTTCCTGAATGGTGTTCACCTCCCCCTAGTCCTGTAATACTGGAAGGTGGGGAGGCGGTGTCCAGCTGCACACACACTCCACACACACAGATTTAACAGGAGCAAAGGTGCTCCAGGGAGCAGGTGACAGCATAGGAAGAGCAGTCTCCCCAAATCTCCGCCTCTCGTCTTTCTAGGTTACCCCCCCTTCTACGGAACCACGTGGGGGAAAGTCCCATCCTTCCACCCCCTTCCCGCCTCCCCCCTCCACCACCTTCCACACGCTCTCTGCGCCCCCCCATCACAGGCGCTGCTCAAAGCCGGTCCCTGGAGCATGCGCAGTGGTGCCCCACCCAAGCCCCCCCCCCGTCAATATTCCCTCCCCCACTCCTCTACCCCACCCCGACTCCTGCATTAAGCTAGGGGGGCTCGTAGACGAAGCCGGGATCGGACACATCAGGCACTGGCGGGGGGGGGAAATTGGGGGTGGGTGGGCAGTGACCACCCAGAGAGCCATGGCTGAGGGTGAGGATATGCAGACCTTCACTTCCATCATGGATGCGCTGGTCCGCATCAGCGTGAGTTGGGGACGGAGGGGGGAAAGTGGGGAGCTGGTGGGGAGCAGGGGTGAAATGGTCATGGGCTAGAGGCCAAGAGGCACGAGTCAGGGGCTTGGAATTGGCGATAGCCACTGAACAGGTGGAGGGGTCTGTTGGAGCTGCGGCTGCCGGGCTGCAGCCCCGAGTCTAAGAGGAGAGAGATACTGGGGTGGGAAGCTGGGGACAGGTGTGAAGGATAGGGAAGAGAAGATACGAGGGGCCACGCGGTGAAGAGGGAAGCTGTTGACCGGGGGCTTTGGGTTGACAATGGGATAAAGCATCTAGGCGATGGGACTTGGGGAAGCCGTGAACAGCTGTTGGGGAGGTTCGCCAGATGTCGAGATGGGGGAAAGGGGTGGCTTAAGGCACAAGGGACTTGCCTAGGTCTTTTGGGTTTGGGGTATCTATGCAAAGGGGCTTGGCAGGAGGGATGGAGGAGATGTCAGAGGGGACCAGTGATGTTCCCGGGGGACTGTGTGCTTGGAGAACAGATGAGAGGGGACTAGAAGTGATCCCCCTTGAGGTGTAAAGCTCCCTTTCTACCTCTCCCCTGACCCCACCCCATGTCATCCCCGCTGCCCCTCACCCCTACTGTCACCCCCACCCCCGTGCGCCTCCGAGCCCTGGGTTGTCATGGCAACCCCGTGCCCGGCGCTCCCAGGGGCGGTGCCAACCCGGCTCCCCCCCCCACCTCCTTCCCTCCCTCCTTTGTGTCAGCTGCGCCCCTGGCCGGGATGGCTGCTAGGAGAGGGAACAAGGTGAGGTTGGGAAGGGGAACGTGAGGGAGGGGACAGCTGGGAGGCCCCCACCCCTACTGAAAAAGGGAGAAGCTACTTCCGGTGGGGAGGGGGGGCGGGGCACTCGTTACCCCCAGCTCCCTTGGGGGGCAGCTAAGGATGCTGTGCTGGGGAGGATGGGAGGCGGGGCAGAGAGCGGTGTAGTGGGATGGCGACGATGGGAGGTGAATGGCATAGAGGGGCAATCGAAGCTAGAGGACAGATTGGTTGGGAGGTCTGAAAACGCTGCAGGGTCAGGGAGGATGAGAGCAGGAGATGGAGCCTTTTGAAGGGATGGGAACAGGAGAGGGAGCAGCTGCTGACGGAACGCTAGAGAGAAATGGGCCTGGGATCCGTGCAGTCTAAGGGACTGTGTCCTTGAGCAAAACGTTCGTGCTTTGCCGAGGGGAGTAGGGGCGTCGGGCCAGGTGAGTGGGGTGGGGGGGCGGAAAAATTCGGCCGGGTTGCTGCAGAGCTAGGAAAGGGAGGGGTTGGGAATAGGGGGAAACCGTGGCACCGCTCACATGTTTCCCAATGCCGATCCAGTGCTGGAGGGAAACTGAGGCAGGGAGAGGGTCAGTATCTCAGGGTGCGGAAGGAATGTCAGATCAGTTGCTAGCTTGAAACTGGGCTTGGGAGCCCAGAGGTAGGTGGTTGGATGAGAAGAGTGGGCTGTTTCCTCTCTTGCCTTTTTCTCTGGGAGACCCAGAAATACAGTCATTCCAACCTCATCAAAAAATCTACTCATCTAGGTCTTCACTTTTATCCAAAGGGTTCAAAATGAGGCAAAAACAAAAACCAAAAAAAACCAACCACAATAACATATATCCAGGCCCCTGACAGCCCTTCCTCCCTTTCTTCCCCCTCCTCCCTCATCCCTCCAGACAAGCATGAAGAACATGGAGAGGGAACTGCTGTGCCCTGTCTGCCAGGAGATGTACAAGCAGCCACTGGTGCTTCCCTGTGCCCACAATGTGTGCCAGGCCTGTGCTAGGGAAGTGCTTGGTCAGCAGGGCTATGGGAGCCACGCTGGGGATCCCAGCTCTGAGCCCACCTCACCTGCCTCCACCCCTTCCACTCGAAGTCCCCGCCTTGGCCGTAGGACCCTCCCCAAAGCAGACCGCCTGGACAGGCTGCTCAAGTCAGGTGGGGACACTGAATTCAAGGGGAAAGATTGGGCGATGGGTGGTAATCACAGAAAATCATAGAACAGGAATTATGGGAGTGAAGGTACACAGAAAAACTAAGGGTTGCCTGCCTGGGAAATGGGGGGAAAGGGGGGTAAGATGAAGGTACCTTCTCCGAGTCTCCTTGTCTAGTGATATTTCTGTTTCTGCTGCTGACAAGGCACCTGTTTAGGGAATGAATCAGTTTGTGTCCCAGCCATGGCACCAGCTATGGTTTGAGGACTGGAAATGACACACACCACCTTTCCCTTCTCTCCATCTCCCTCCTCACGCTCTCCTTCAGGTTTTGGAACATACCCTGGCCGGAAACGGGGAGCCTTGCACCCCCAGATTGTGACGTTCCCATGCCCAGCATGCCAGGGTGATGTGGAGCTGGGTGAGCGGGGCCTGAATGGCCTCTTCCGTAACTTGACCCTAGAGCGGGTTGTGGAGCGGTACCGTCAGAGTGTGAGTGTGGGTGGTGCCATCTTGTGCCAGCTTTGTAAGCCCCCACCTCTGGAGGCCACCAAGGGCTGTACCGAATGCCGTGCCACCTTCTGCAATGAGTGCTTCAAGCTCTACCACCCCTGGGGCACTCAGAAGGCCCAGCATGAACCCACCCTGCCTACCCTCACTTTTCGCCCCAAGGTGAGCAAGCCCTGCCAGTCAGACCTCTGGGTACCTCTGCAGAGGCATAAGGAGCTGGGAGAGAGGGAAGTTCTATATAGTATTAGGTTAGCTCCAGTACAGTGCTTCCATGCTACCAGGGACCCTGGATAATGTGGGCAACCAGATTTGTCAGTACCCAGAGAATTATCAGGCAATCTGCAAGATGCTTAGATATTTACCTTATTAAAATACATGCATGTGCACACAGAGACACACAGAATTGACATCTTTGCCACTTACAAAGTATTGGTGACATACTCTTGTAAGGGACTGGACAAATAATTTAATAGTACCCAGAATAATGTCCCTTATTTTAAGGGTGCCTATTACTACCCAGAATAATGCTCCTAATTTTAGATGTCTCCTTGCACCTAAAAAAAAAAAAGCCCCTCTCACTGTAGTGCTACCTAAAGCTGTTGTAATCTAGCTGTGTGGTGCAGTCCTGCCTTTCCCCCCAGGACAAGATGTTACCTCTGCCTTTGGCACCTAAACACCGGCATCCCGGAGACTAAGAAGGATTTCTTAATACCAATGCCTTGATTTTCTCTGCAGGGTCTGATGTGCCCAGACCACAAAGAAGAAGTCTCTCACTACTGCAAGACATGCCAGCGACTAGTGTGCCAGCTCTGCCGGGTTCGGCGCACCCACAGTGGGCATAAGATTACACCTGTGCTCAGTGCCTATCAGGCTCTAAAGGTGAGTAGCCTTTTTGTCCTATCTTCATTAGCCCCCTCCTCTTCCCCTCTCCCCACCCCACCACATAAACACCCTGTGCCACACTGATATGATCTTTCTCACCACTGGGGCAAAAACTCCTCCTGTGCCCAGGCATAATGCCCACTTCTCTCTTCCTTCTCAGGAGAAACTAACAAAGAGCCTGACATATATTTTGGGAAATCAGGACACTGTACAAACCCAGATCTGTGAGCTGGAGGAGACAGTGAGGCACACAGAGGTGAGGGAGGGCAGAGGGGCAGGCATGGTGCCAGGGCAGGGTGGGTAGGGCTGGCTAAAATGTCAGAGAGCTCTGATAGCTCTGCAAGAAGGTAACTTTGGGGTGCCTTGGAATTGTCTGAGGTGATAAGTAGGCAAAGATTGTTGGGCACTTTGGTGCTTCTGGCAAGGCTGACATGGACTCTCGTGAGTGGAAAGGTGCAAATAGCGACAGGCAGTTTAGGGAGAACCCCAAAGGGAAGTAGCATAAATACCCCAAGGCTTAACATTCAGCCTCAAAAGGTTGGCACAGATGCCCAGGAAGCTGGCATAGCTATCGGTTAGCCTACTGCCAAATTGTTTGATTTGGATGCCTAGGGGAACGGGCAGTGATGCAGGCATCCAGCAAGGTTGACACAGATACAAAGCGTTTGGCATGAGTAAACAAGGGTCCACCACTGGGGCCATGAGTCTTGTCTTTTTACCTCTGAAGGTGGAGATAGCATTAGTGCAGTTACTTAGGGGACTAGCAATGATGCTGGGCACCCAGAAAGTTGGTAAAGGGGCCAGTGGCAGAAAGATGGAGAATCATGTTCCTTGTGCCATTTTCTTCCCTTGGGCAGGTGAGTGGTCAGCAGGCAAAGGAGGAAGTGGCTCAGCTGGTGCGGGGGCTGGGTGCAGTGCTGGAGGAGAAGCGGGCAACACTGCTGCAGGCCATTGATGAATGCCAGCAGGAACGGCTAGCTCGGCTGGGGGCCCAGCTCCAGGAGCACCGGAGCCTGTTGGATGGCTCAGGACTAGTGGGCTATGCTCAAGAGGTCCTCAAAGAGACTGACCAGCCTTGTTTTGTACAGGCTGCCAAGCAGCTACACCACAGGTACCCACTGGGCACCATACTAGGAAGCCCTTCCCCAGAAAAGAGTAGGGCTAAGAACGAGGTAGTAGAGTAGAGGGAATGGGAAAGGAGAAAGAAGGAAGAAATGCTCTAAATCGTTGAAGCTCATGCGTAGACAAGTGCCAGAGCTGATGCCCATGTTAATGCCCAAGCGTGGTGCTTTGAGCTCCCAGGTATTATTTGGACACTCCGAGGAATGTTATAAAGCAGGACTGAGGCTTGAGGGGTGGGATGGGCTCCTAAATCCAGTGCTAGAGCCAAGCCATATACGAGATGCCAGGGAGCCAGTTCCAATG